TAACCATTTAACAACTGAAGTATTTTTCGCTGACCATTTACGGCGACCTAATGAATAACTGCCTTGCTGGCTGAGTAACTGACTGACTCCAACAGACTTTATGGCATGCTGCAGTCACTAAAGATGAAGAAACATTGCGAAAGACACAACGCTCGATCCCCAATAAAAATGAGTTGGAAATTGCGAAAGCCCAAGCAACAGATATTTAAAATGCAATAGTATAATTCCAATCTAATATTTTGAGTGTAATTTAAATGTTTTCCCATCTAACTTGACAAACTAACTTTTCAGACAAAAGTTTAAGGTGAACAAAAGCTCAGAAATATATCAAAACCGATCAATATCAAGTCAACCCCCTGTGATTCCATGTAACTTGCATAAAATTATAAAATTCCATTGATTAATTGCTGACATGACAAATACGTTGCGTCTAAATGTGACACAAGTTGCGCGCCTCAAACTATGGAGAAGAATAAAATGAGAAAATTAAAAATACAAAAGTATACTGGAAAATAATACCCACAATGGCCAGAACCACATCAACAGCAGGCTCAACAAACAATTTGTAATTAACACGCGTGGGTCTCAGACTGAGACGATCCGACGAGCGAGAACAAACGATATAGAAATACTTGAACAAGTTGAAATTCGAATTGATATTCACTTTTGCCACATGGTCCAGTTGCCATAAAAGGCAGATCAATCCACTGCCAGCCTATGCCAAATATACAGTACCTATCTTAACTATAAGTCAAGTAATAATAATTGATTTTATTTTTAAGCTTTAAATTCAAAAGAAATATAACACAGATATAATTTAAATTGCAAACAAATATTTAACTTTTGTTTAAGTTTATGTGGTATAAAGGGAATAGCCACACAGCAATGAAACGCACTGTTTAAACGCCATACACGTTTGCGCTTCTCCTTAGAAACTTGAACTTGTCCAAAATCGTTTGACTGACTGATTTATATGAATTTTATTTATAGAATTTGGCAAGAATCAAGCAGAACAAAAACATTTACATGCCATGTAAATTGGCTGTCCGTGTCGGGCATTTATTTAATTATTTATTTATAATTAAATTGTTTATTTAGCCGTAGATGTGGTCTTGGCCATTTTGGTCCGCCAGGAAGCCAATTAGTTTAGCTGTTTTTGGCCTAAACTATTTGACGTTTCTCGTTGGCAGCATCTTAAGCCGTATTCCATTTGGCTTAAAGATTATTATCGCTCGATATTCGGCGGTAGGAAATATCAAATATCCAAAGCTTGAGTTAATTGAGTAATCTCATAAAATTTTAAGCTAAAGAAATGATTGGATTGAACTTGAACTAAATATAAAGGACAGGAAGGAAGTGCTTGGAATGCGGATGATGGTCAACAACTTTCAGTTTTTATGTCAGACCTACAAAATAATCTTTATATTATTTCTCTTTTGATTTAATGAAACGAATTGCAACAGGTCTTATTTAAATAGTTACCTTCCAGAGAAAAGGGTTGCTCTAATACCATATATTAAATTAGTTTTACCCTTTCCATTTGCCTTTAATTCATATAATCCCAACGCTGGCTCTTTTCAATTTCAAAAGAGTTTTTGCAGTCGGCTTCTGTCTTGTCAGTCAGGCCAAGACAACGCAATATTTTTTAGCATGGCCTGGCTTTCGTGGTTGTTTCTTATGTCAGTTCGCTTTTGGGACCCCGTTTAATCTTTTGGCTGCAACATGTAATAGCTCTTTAAAAGGTTCAGAGCCCAAGCACACTCTCGACTCTCGACTCTTGAATTGGGTCAGCAAAGTGTTATGTATGCGGCTAAGTATTTACTTATAGAGCATGTGAGCTGCTCTAGACAAAGTGGGCTGCCAGCCAACTTGGCTTGAACCTTTGGGGCATGCCACACACATCAGGTTCGCAGATGAACAGTGATTAGCCGGGGTTAAAGTTTACGGGGGCTAATCGTGAGTCGAACCAAGGCAACTAACCGAAAGCGAAACTTTTGGCAAATAGGTTGCGGCAGAAACATCGCATGATATGACTCAATTTGTGATTATACGATTTGTTGCGTATTAAAGTCCTAAATGTTTATGGCTTTATTGATTATTAATTTGCAAACAAGTGTCAAGGGCTTAAGGCATCTAAAACAATGGTACTGCATTGTGGAGTTTTTGGAGTATACCAAATGGTAGTAAAGTCTAGCGCGTGGCCATAGCTGATCTCCTATTAAATATTCAAAGCATATTCCCACCATAAATGTCTCATAAATACACGATTCCTTTCTTTTATGATTTTGTATTTTGACAAAAAGGGCACGTAGCTTTGGCAAATGCAAATGAAGGCGTAAATCAAAACATAAAATCGCACCAGACAGGAAACACTTATGTTAAGTTAGGTATGCAATATGTTCAACATGTGTTGTTTTTTTTTCCAAAAAGAGCTATGTTTTGTATTAAAATAGGTCTTATAATAATATAACAATTAAGTATTCTTGTTTAATTGCAATTAATGAATAGCAAAGAGTTTCCTGGAAATCGAGTTCGGCTGCTTAAGTGGCGGTTCCGGAAGCCTTAGGCAAACGTCAACAGTTGAACCTTTGCCCATTACCAGGGCGTGTCTCCATAAACAAAAAAAAAAAAATATTTAACAAAACCTCTTCTTCATGCTTTGCGGCTAATTAAACAATTTCAGTGTTTTATACCCTTTTTGGGGTATAGGGACTAGCAAACCAACAATGCGAAAACAAATTAACAATGAAACATACCAAAAGTTTTCGAAGCTAAAATTGTGATTTAAGAGAATAAAGAAAGAATTTTGTTAAAACAAGTTTTTTAAAAATCACCAAATTAATAAAAAAAATTATTGTTTGTTTACGTTTCTTTTCGTTTCTTATAAATTCTGAAAAAACAATTCTCAGCCTGGCCAATAATCTATTAAGAAATCTTTGTCGCACGGTGTAATTAACAAATTAAATAGAATTACTTTTCAGATAGAAGTGAGAATTTAAGAAATACAATATTTTTATAGAGAGTATTTAAAGCTTTAATTCCTAACAGGTTTCGGCTTGTTTTGGTTTTTTTTTCGGTTTTGTATTTGGCAATTAGTCAGGCATGCATCGTCTAGTCAAATTCAGGAAGATTGTCAAAACACGTACAACAATTTGTTTGAGGAAGCACCCAGGTGAACACACAAAAATATTAGCATACCTTTTCTTGTGGGATCTTTTTGTTTTTATTAGGTTTGTTTTTGTTAAAGTATGTCTGCGTGTGGCACGTGGTGAACCCAATGATGGAGTGATTTAAACGGTTACGCCCATTTGCTGCCCATCAGTTGATGCATTAATGTGTGAAGTTTTGACTATTTTTATTGTTTTAATCTTCCTGAAGTCATTGGCATTTGAACTTGTAATTAAATACTCAAGATTTATTTGATAGAGCAATAAAGTTGAGCAAAAACGGATATGTTCTGGATTCGGGTATATATCAAAGCAAACCTGTTTTATTTATTATTCCTTCTCGATTAATTGGAGTCACTGAAGCGGTTACAAAAAGCCACCAAAAATAGGGAACAAGTGACACCCTGAAATACAATTTGTAGGTTTCTCGAACTCGTGCCATAACTTTCAAATGCGATTTGTTCAAAAATTTGTTACAGAAAGAGGCTGAGGAAGAGAACGGCGTGACAACAGTTGGCCAGGCTACCAGCAAACGAATGCCACTAATTCGCGGATCCGAATAAGACCAAAATCGGAAACCAAATCCAATTTCAATTGCATTGCGAATGCGGCAGCCAGAGCCACGTTTTGAACCCCAAGACCCCCAAAGGGTCAAGTGGCGCGTGTAGCTAAAGCCATGGCTAAAACCGCTGCCGCTTCGGCAGCCTTAGCTCTACTTTATTTTACGGCCCCCAGTTTATGTGGCCACCCACTGAAGGGTTTTATTTATTTTTTTGCTTGCGAGTAGAGGAGAACTGATCTCCCAGCCGAGCATTCGATCTTCATGCCCCAGTGCGTGGCGAGACCTTACTTGCGTTCGAGTCTGAACTTGACATGCATATGCGAATATCAGAGTATATAGTCCCACAAACCCCCCTCTTTATCCCCAATCCAAACCGGCTGGTGCGTGTTGCATGAATGCTGTAGGTAGGGTAGTAATCAGTCTAGACTGCATTGGGCTCGTCCCACGTTCAGCATTGAGATACGATCATATCGAAAGTGTGCTGATCTAATTAATGGCTTAATTTGTGTGCTCACGGAGCATCAATGACACCTTGGGGCTGAAAACAGTAATGTTTAATGAGCCAGAGCCACAGTTGGGACATAAAAGTATTAAAATAAGCCTTAATATCAGAGCAAGTTCCATAAAGTCTGGTTCAATGGCACACTTGGAAAGTATTACGTTGCGCCATTACGTTACGTTAAAAATGCCGGTTGAATTGGCAGACAAAAGCCGGTTGAAAAGAGAATATTGGTAAGAGAGCGTGCAGCAGGGTTGTCGAGGTTTGAAAAGGTTTTATAGAAACTAAAAGAAAGAACAAAAAATAGTAAGGAAATATTATTTGTATTTATTTGAAATGTATGTATTCCATTATTCAGTTTGTATTAAATGGGTGTTCCAAGTTTATCTTTTCATTTAATAAAATAGGTGCAGTTGAGGATATAGCATGACTTCATTTCTGTCCACTCGACTTACAGCCACTTTTCAATTGTTATTAGTTTTATTGTGCAGCTCCTTTTTGAGAAAGAGACAATAAATCAACCTTAACTACAATGAGCTAAACACAGTGTGTAGGTCTGGTTAATAAAAATGGAACTAAGCCAAAGAGCGACTTTGGCTAGCTTCTCTTTGCAGCTTGGTAACTGGTAACTGAAATCTCTTTCCACCGGAGAGCCGCTCCCCAAAGCGGCTGACATCATCGAGAGCCACAGTCTCCACAGTCTTGGCCAAGTCGAAAAGCTAGAGCCAGGTGTTGGACGGAAGGCTTATTTAATGCGCGTTGCGAGCGCGAAACTCTTTTAGTACAGCGTTGGCGTGCGAGACAGACGGTTCGGTTTTCTGGGCAGCAGTCAACTTCAAAACGAGTTCGTTATTAACCACATACTGTGTAAACATATCTGTGTGCGATCAGACATACTGTACGAACAGCACACACTTTTCGGTGCCGAAAACAAAAGTATACAAAATAATCTAGAAACCAGGGAAAACAAAAAACACACGAGTAAACATTAAAAAAGTGCTGGGATGTTGTGACTTCAAGTGAAGCCAAGCGTTGAGTGTGAAATGCAAAACTGGCGGATTCAAGAGCTACGAGATAAGCGACTTCGTCTCGAAGACTGAGCAGCTCGAGTCCCGAAAACAATTGCGAATTGCGAAGAAAGTGAAAGATCAGAGACAAAAGGAAAAGTCCCAGAAAGGGAAAGGTTGTGGCTACTCGGGTTTTCCTTTCCTTCAGATGCTCCGTCAGGTGCAACAACGCTTAGAAGTCCCCCTGCCGCCCACTTCCTCCCCCTTTGAACAGCTGTTACACTCAGACAAACGCCCACTGGATCGTTGAAGCCTTTTGCCTTTGCCAAAAACATTTTCAATCACCTTTGTCCAATGCCTCTAGCTGACTACGCGTTTTTTCGTATTCATCGAGAGCTGACAACAAAATATTATAAATTAATGAAAAAAAATTCCCGTATACCACGCGTTTTTTAAGTCGAATTGCCATTGATTCATTGAGCCCCTTGTCTGTGTGTGCCTTTGTCTGTGTGTGTGTGTGCGTGTGTGTATCTGTGTGTGCTGGTGAATACAATCAACGGAGCACGGCGGAAAAAAAGGAGAAAAAAGCGGCCAAGCGACATTGATGCCAATCGGCGGCAGTGCATTTGTTGTTGTTGTTGCTGTTGTTGTTGTTACCGCTGCTGCCACCGTCCACTTTTTGCATCGGACCAGAATATAATGAAATAAAGCCAAATAAAATATAAGCTAAAACGCCTTCAGTGGACTTTAGGCTGGAAAGAGATATCAACGCTCGCGAATCGCGCAGACAGGTACGTGCAATTCGTCTCATTTTGATTTATTTCAACTGAACCCCGGCCATAAATTGTCGTGTTTATTTTCCTAGTCTAACTGGGCATTGAAACTCACATGAAACTGTCTGAAGTTTGGTGAGAGGAGCCAAGACAAATTGCTGACCAAAAACCGAACAGCTAATGAGTAGATAACTATGCTCGATGATGCAATAAATCAGCAAGGAAATTGTTCAGAATTTAGATGTTGGGTAGTAACGTGACTTATCAGAAAAATCGTAATTAATAATAGTTAAATTGGCAAATTGATTGATTCAAACAAGAAATATAAAAGGACTTTATACGAATAGTATTGTTGAAAAATATGTATACATTATTTGAACAATAATTTTCCATTCTGAGGTCATTGACTATAGCTGTTTATTTTCACTCGCTGTTAATTTATTTCCTATTCAAATCTAACAAACATTGCAAATGAAAGAAATACATTCTCTTTTATGCCGAGAAACCATTCCCATAATTATAATTACGATTTCCGAACCATTTCGCCCTGCTCCATTTTAAAGCAGCCAACAATGGAGGAGAATATTCTTATGCTTTCCTTTGTCCGATTTGAAACGCTATTTCTCCCAGTTAATTATTTCGTCTGCACATATATTGTGAGCTATGATATTTTATTACTCTAAAGCTGGGCAATTTATCTTATTACCACCTCCACCCAACTCAACAGGGTTCATTAGAGAACTAAATAGCCCGTGCATATATATCATGAATCATTGGTGTATTTTCGAACAATTGGAGTTCAATGATTCTAGTGCTGGGCATGAGTTCACAGATTGCCCATTAGTCATCAGAGTGTCCAGACTCTGGCACTTACACCATATACAGATAGTTGACTGGTTTTGTATCATTATTTTGCATACTTATTCCGGTAAGAAATCCAACCCTAACGGATTCTTTTTATGTGGACCGAAAGTTAGTTATATTTATGGCTATATCCAGCGATTTCGCGACGACAAATGTCGCATTAGGAACTTGTGGCATGCATTAGTGCAAATTACCATTTGGGCTCAAAAGGTGTTGGCCCCAATTGTCACCTCCGAAAGATATTGAAACGGAAAACTGGGTGCGGGACTCGGAGCTTATGGCATATTGCATTACCTCGTCAAAAGCAGCGATAATACTTGATTTCTTTACCTCTACACGGTCTTTTATATATATTTTTATGGGCACGCGCCTTTTCGTTGCTTTATCGGTCGTGCTGAATGTCAGAGAGTTAGAACTTGGCAGCCGAGGTTGACATTAAGAGCATTTCAACACCACAGCGAGAGATTTTTAAATTAAGCTAAAGATAGGTTATGGTAAATTATTAAATGGGAGGGCAGGGATAAAATCCAGAAAAAAAGGATTGCAAATAAGTCGAGCCCCTCACGTTTATCGCCTCATTTAGTATGCCAAAATGGCAACTGACACTTTACTTTCCACACCCTTTTCGATCACAAAAGGTTTAATGGTGATGCTGGCCAAAAATTCATAATTTGTGGAATCTTGCTTTGCATTCTCGATAATTCTAAATGATATTCGTGACATTTCTGGCTGAACATCAAAATTTATTTCCATTGTTATATTTTTTTAAAATGAAAAACAAAATAAAAACAAAACGCCTCAAACTCATAATTATTAGCTTTGCCTTTTAAGGCTGGGGCACAAATCAAATTCTTTATAAATCATTTTCTAGCTAATGCTTCCAATGAACTCAGCCAGGTCGTTTGCAATTTGTTTGCATTTTGCAACCAAATATTTATCTTTTGGCATTAATTTTTCGGCTTTGAACAGGATGTGCAAATGTGATTCATAGAAAAACGTTGAAATTAAAGCCTTGGCCAAGGTCTTCCTATGATGAGCTCAGAATGCCTGGATTTTGGTTTCATAATTTATTTTTGCCATAAGCTTGTTATGTTTTTGATCTCGGACAGCTGTTCTCGGGTCCTTTCATTTTTCATCATCGGCTTAATTAAACCATAAACACCTCAAAACATGCTACCATATTCAATACCGAACAGAACCCCACACAACATAGAAGTGACCCACCCATCACAACTGGCAAACAGCCCACACGACAAACGTTTTCTTGGCTCATTTCATTTTTCATTTTTTCCAAGACAATGCCAAATCATTTAGCAGCCGAAAAAAGTGCAGCAAACAAACACCTCCGCAAAAAAAGAAACAGACAGCGACCACGATCCACTGAACCGTCTGAACAGTGGAGGCCCAACCTATAGACATGTTTAATCAATTTAAATTACCTTCAATTAGGCTCTTTGTTTGCCGTCTCGTGGACATTGCGAAAAGTCTTCGACTCGGCATCTGCATAAACGAAATGCAAATGAGGAAAATGCCACTAATTTGTTTAGATTCCTCGGCTCTGAAATGGATGCATGCATATCTAACTTGAGAGTTGGCCAATGTCGGCAATTAAACGTTTAATAGCTTCATTCGATATGCATAATGGCCAGAGTTTTAACGGGGGACCGTTGTGGGTGTCGGCTCTTTTTTGGTTAATAAAAATGCAAATGTTCCCTTGAGTCATAAACTAATTTGTTGGAGAATCGAGTGTGGACATTTCGGCCTGGAACTGAGGAAATTGTGACTAGAATTTACGGTGATTTTTTGATTACTTTTTAAGAGGTCCATAAACCATACAATGCCATTAATTTTTTTTACCGATTTGATTTCTTTCAATAATGGACCTTAAAATGTTTACTAAAGTAGAAATCTTTTGTTGAAACCGCAGCTGATGAATATATTTTAATATTTTTTTTTTGTTTATATGGTAAAACTCTTTCTCTTTTCTTTTTGGCTGCGCATAATTTTAAAAACATGCACTTATCTAAGCTGGGCTAAGCCTAAGTAGATTTAAAGATGCCGATAACCTAAAAGCCGAAAATCCTCTCAAAAATGTTCAAGCTAAACAAACAACTTTGCCAGCCAGTCAAATACGAAAGACTTAGGACAGAAACTTGCACGAATGCATATAATTAATCTCCTTATCCAAACTCGGCGACTGATCTCCAAGTGAAAGTTGCCATGGCCAATCGTCTAAATATCAAAGTGCCTGCGCTCGTCAACAGTCACTTCGGTCCAACTGCCATCCTGATGATTCGATTTAAATGAGCCATCAAATCGGCACCCCAACCGAGACGCGTCTCCCGACTTGTGTCATTGAACCAAACAAATCAAAGCCGCTTACCAAAAGTCGCGCAAAAACTCTTAGTTTACAGTCGTCAACTCCGAGGATTGATGACAAGCCGAGCAATGCCAAATGACAATTATTTACGCGGCAAAGTGTCATAAAATAGAGGAATGAAAAAGGCTGCATGAAAAAACCTCAACTAAAACCAGAAACCAGAGCCAAATGACAGCGAACAAAAAGCCGAAATGTGTTTATTGACGTCATTCCATGGAACCAACAAACCCCGACAGGCAAAAAACTTTTAATGTGGAGAAAATCCAGGCTCCGTCCGGGCTTTTCTGCGGGAGGATCCGAGGGAGTGGACAGACCGACCAGCGCCACCCGCTGAGCCGTAGCCAAAGTCAGAGCCAAAAAGTGCTTGCGAATCGTAATAATTGCAAACAATTACAGAGACACTAAGGCGAGGTGGAAAAAATGAGAGCTAGAGGGAGGTACTTTTGTGTAAAAGACTTTTTGATACCTCAAAAAAGTTCATTTAAAAATATACCAATTAAATTAAATTTGGAAAAGGTACCTATGTAATTAAGTAGGATGCTAATTTCCAAAAATGTTACTAGAAAGAACATGTTTTATTATCATAAGTTAAATTCACCACGGAATTAAAGTTATAAATATTTTATATATTAATATAATCATGCGTACATGATTCCTATGATGATTTTAATTATCCTCTTTTTTGTTATGCAAATAAATATGAATACTCCAAAAGTATATATCCAACTCAACCGAAACTCAACTGAACTAATAAAACCAGCTACCCCTTTTAAAAAATCACTCACTGGATACCATTTCGCGGACATCAAACTCTGGCCATTGTCTTGTCGGAGATTTTGCCAGGGCTTGCAGAGCATATTGGCTGTGATCAGGGGTTAACTTCTTGTAGCCATCATATGGGTGCACAGAGAG